CCTCAATACAAGGGAGCTAACAATTAGGCTGACGAGATGACCTTTTTGCAAACGCAACAGAGAAAGAAAGAGTCACACTCAAAATCTAGATGCTACCCAAATTGAAGGACAAACTCCTCCCTAGTGAAGTCGTTAGAAATTTGGTTGCCCGAAGTGTCAGTATCAAGATATTATGACTCCTATAATGAAAATAATTAGAGAACACAAACATGGAGAAGAAATTTACCGTTAAACCCTCTAAATGGATAAAGGCTTTTGTACGATCAATGGGGATTGAAGGAGTTCCAAGAGCTTTGGGGTTCTTTTTTCATTTACATTAAATCAATACCATTGATTTGGGTCATAGAACATAGTACAAATATTAAAGAAACAAAAAATATTAAAGAAACAAAATACAACAAACAAAGACACCAAGAGACATCTACATGTCTTTATATATAAATATAATACAAGCACACATTGAATAAATTTGTTCTCCTTAATTAGGATTATAAGCCAAATGTAGATCCTGAGCATTCGTTCTTTAGGGACATCGTCACATTCCTGGAGTTTTAGAGTGTCGTCAACATTCTTGGCCCCACCTAGATCTATGAACTTTTTGGGTATCTGACGTATCAGTCTCTCCCCTCCAATCGTTTAGGCCTTAGCAATAATCAATGTGCATTATATAGGCTACTCGAGATGATAATCATGAATCGAAGTCATTCACCCAAAATCATGGCGGTCATCTCTAATAGGTCCTCATAGCATAGATATCATTTGAGTATGATGTGAAACAAACCTTAGAGGATGGGATTTTCTATGAGAAAGATCCTTATTTGCTCACACCAGCGGCAAAGCCTTTCGTGTTTATAAGAACATTCAAAGTGGACAATGTAATTTTCACAAAGCAAGTTCTTTTAATCTGAATTTTCATATGTTAATAAAGGACTTTGAGAGGAATCTAAGGACATTAATTTCCAGACAAATGGATCAAAGATGAGGACGATATAGCCATTCTAATTTATCTTATTACAGTTTCTGATTTTCTACAACAAACCTACCTATTATGAGCCATATATCTTTCAAATCAGATTATTATTTGCTATGGCATCTCATTGATATGATCGAAGAACAAAAAAACTCCACATAAATTGTTAGAAGCCTCAATTTGAAAGCAGTAAACGTCTGCATGTATGTTATGTATTGGAAATGTGTTGATGACATATTAGATCTCTCTCAAAATCTAAATCCATGAGCAATGGCTCTCCCATGGATGTTAGTGAAGAATATGTTCCCTCCAAATTTCATGAGAAAACTCCAAATCGATTAGGAGAAATCTTGATTTTTCTATTCATGAGTTATCTCGTCAAGTGAAGAGGTGCTTGACAGTTGGTGAACGTAGTGGCACCTCTGAGTACTGAAAAAGGATGAAATCATCTCCAAATGATCTAAAACTATGGAAATAAGATTATTATTCCTTAGATTAAACTTCTAGCAACTTTTCATGTGATTTCAAGATAATAATATTTGGGACTAATATCATGCCTACCTTGGTGCATACTGAATCTAAAAATTGTATGTTTTCTCATGCTAATGATACTAAAGCAAACGTCTAGAGAATGTTTGGACTATTAATGTTCCAAAACACACCGAAACATTAGCATCTCAATTTCGCTGCGTACCATTGAACAACAAAAAAATAAAATAACAATAAAGAGTACTCTAAAATTTTAGGTAAATACAAACAATACCTGCCACTTCATGAAATGATTGTGGTGATCGAATCATCCTATTTAACAATAAGATGTTTACTTTTTTTTTTTTATCTAACTTAGGTACCTATTTAAAAAACATGACAAGAATAATCAAAGTATCCTTATTCAAGATTAGGAACCTTGAAATAAACCTCTTCAATACGCATAAAAAAATGGAAAAGGATCAAATTGCCCTTGTTCAAGGCGGATAATTCATCCCATTTAATATTGAGATGCTTACTTTTTCTATTTAATTTAGATACATATTTGGAAAAATGATGAAAATAATCGAAGTGTCTTCGTTCAAGATTAGGAACCTTGAGCAAGCCTCTTTAGAAAACATGATAAAAAAAAAATAATCAAATGCCCTTGTTCAAGATTAGGGACCCTAAACATGTACTTCGGTAATAGAGCCCAACTAAGCCAAATAATGATTACCTAGTTAGTCCAAGCCAAATAAGATTACCAGGTTGTTCATGGTGAATGGTAAAAGCATTTACCATGAAAAAAGTTAGTGTTGTCTTGAACAACCAGGGTTATTATTATAGTTTCATAAGTTTGTGTTACAAACCTTGAAAAATAAGTGGTGTTAGGCTAAATTACTATAATTTCCTTGTTTGTTCAAGATTCTCGAATAGGAGCAATGCACTATAATTTAACATATTTTTTAGATGAGTTGTGTGAGCGAAATCAAGTTTAAAAGAGTAATTATTTTAATATCAGATGCGATGGTTTTATAAATTTTGAAAAATGCAAATGCAATTTTGTCCATTTAAATGATAGTTTATGTTAAGGTTTTGTTGTGTAATTTGACAATTTTAGGAATAAAAAGTTTATTCAAGGCATCAACCTTGTATTATAAAAGTAATGCACACCTCAAAATCTATCAGAGAAGGTTTTTTGACACTAGAAACCATACAATTGAGCATCTCAATTTTGAGATGTATAGAGATGAAGAAAGACATAGTAGTTCAATTGATCACGTTGACCTCGAGATGTATGAACATGAAGAAAGAGTTCAAGTCCTAAAAATAAGAGAAATTAATGTAAATACCATTTTTTTTCCATAGACATTGTCTACCAAGAGACCATCTATCATTGTACATGGAGATCAGAATCATTCTTGTCTTTTAAATTTCAAAATAGGTAGTTGCAAGAGTGTCATTGCATAGATACAAGTTCCAATAAAAAATATTCTTGGAATGTGTGACTCATCCTAAGATATTCAATGTAACATCTAATGAGTGAGAATGATTGTGACCTCCATGTACAAATAATAAATGGTCTTTTTGTAGACAATCTCATTTGAAAATTGCTCCCAAATTCTTCTATTTTTCTATGATGTCCCTTTTCTTCCCCACTTTTTAATTTTTTTCTTGAAATTGCCCTTTTGTTCAACACTCGTGCCAATAGTTTGTTTTGGGTAAGTTGAAAATTGAGTTCGGCACTTGGAGTACGAAACTTTGTTTTGTGCAACATTAGGCGACAATCTAAGTACGAACTTTGTTTTGAGCATATGCCCAAAACAAGGTTTGGCACTTAGACTTTGGCATTTTGAGGTACTCTGGTTGCATCTCCTTAGAAAGGGTCACGTAATGTTTGTATTTTTATTTTTCTTTAATGTAATCCTTTTTTAGAATACTAATAATAACAAAAAAAAAAGTAGGAGCTCGTCATCCCCATTGATTCAAAATGTTGCATAAAGGGCATTTTACAAAAAATAAGAAAGCATAATAACAATAAAAAAATGCTTGTGGAATAGAAAATTTGAGGGAGTTTTTTGAAATATATTAAAATGAGGTATTTAGGTTAATTCCTAAAACTAATACATCCTTTCCTCGTAGAACATAAAATTTCAGGGATAGTTTTTAAATATATTAAAAAAGAGGTATTTAGGTTAAGTCCTAAAACTAATACATCTTTTAACATATTATACAGACCATTCATTTTTAAGATTTTGAAGTATTTTGAAGTGTTATGCTTGGTCCATGCTATTTTTGGAAGGTATAGATATTGTTAACATTTGGAAATACACCTTGCTTTTGATGAACAATTATTTCATGCGGGCGCATTTATACAATATGTGGTCCAGAGGTTTAAAGCAAAATGGATGGAAACATGTCGTCCATCAAAAAGCAAAAAGCAGTTGTAACTAACGGTCCAAATGTTTTTTAATTGGATTATTATTTTTAATTTTCAAAATTTATTTTTGTTTTTATATTCATAATCTCTATGTTAAAAAGGTTATGTATCCTGTAAAAATTAAGACCAACTTTACAACAATATTTATTGCCAAGCCCGCATTTGTACATATGCGGGCTTGGCCGCATGCTAACCGCGTCCTAGTTTGATTGTTCATTTACACCTTAGTTAAACGGCAGTGGTGGTTCGTCCAAGGGAATAAATATTGTTAAAAATAACGGAAAACTGTTCCATGAGACGAATCCCTGCTCTCGTGGTTGTTCCCTATGTTGAGAGTGGAGAAGAGAGAGACTGCGAAAGTACTTTTTCCTGGACCATGGTTCGGGTCCGGGTCAGACTTGGACCCGGATTCAGATTTGACTGGACTCTAATTTATTGGATTTGGACTCTAAAAATATAACTATGTACCTAAAAATATTTTATAAATTTATTAAATATACACATGTATTATTTAAATATAAAAAAGTTCATGTAAAATTGCAACTTTAAAAAGTAGAATTAAAGATGCAACTCAAAAATCATCATAAGGTTGTTTTAATGTTTTAAAGTTGTTTTAATGTTGAAAAAAACCCTTGGCAATGAGATATATAAATATAAAAAAAAAAAGAAATTTTTAGTTGTAGAAAATTAGAAATAGTGCAACTTGCAACACATTATTTAGACAATCCATTTTCAAGATTTTTATATGTTTATCGATCTACTTGATTTTAACCATTTTTTTAGTTTAAAATCTTATAAGTAAAAATGAAAATATATTTTAAGATAATCTTAAGAATTTTTACGCCAAAATTACATGTTATGATAAAATTTAGAGGTGCAACTTAATTGGATTGTTTGAAATTTCAACTTATACAAACCATACTCTTTAAATATTTTGACTAAAAATATATAATTATATTTATTTAAATAATATATATTAAATATTAATAGTATTTTAATTGGGCCTCTATAGACCCGGACCCGGACCCGGACCCGAACCCGAACCCAGACCCATGGACCCTAATACTATTCAGCAAGATCCAATTTTTGGACCCATGCCGGAACCGGGTCGAGTGCTAGTCCCTTGCCCGCGCGGTAGAGAGAGAGAGGTGTAAACTTTTTTCAGGCGCTCGCTGTACTCTACCATCATCTCATCTGCGTCTCTAACACGAGAGGAGAGAGAAACACAGTGAAGGAAACATGACATAAATTGTTTGATTTCGCAGAAGAACTGAGGCTAGGTCACCATGGCCATGTAAACAGAAGAAAGACAGAGTAGATTTATATGTGCAACCATATGACGCTTCCATGTGTCAAGCCATGAAGCAGGTGTCACTCTTCTCCCAAACAATCCCTCCCCAATATTTCTAATTCCTCTCTCTTCTCTCTCTCTCCATGGATTCTCAGACCATGACAAGCCCCATCTGTCTTTCGCCTCCCCCACAAGAGAGCGACCCCCTCTTGCTTAAACCAGTGGATTGGCTCATCGACCTTCTCTCTATACACCTCAACTTCATTTCCCATTTCTTCTCTGCAATTTCATCCACATTCTATGCCTTCTTATCCATGGTTCTCGAGTTCTTTCACTCGATTGGTGAGGCCAAACACAAGGCTGAAGAGACCGCTCACCAGGAACTTGAAGCCGTTTCGAGAGCTCCCTTGGCCGTGGCTGAAGGTGGGGGTCTATTTGCAAAGAAGCTGGTTTTTGGCTGCTTGGGGGCCACTTATGTGTGCTCAATTCTCGTTTTGCTCCTGGTTTTTTCTGTGCTTTTGGGAGTTGGGTTTGTTAATCTTTGGGTTGAAGAGCCTGTGGTGGTTAAGAAGAACCTCTATTTTGATTATACTCAGCCTCACCCTGTTGCTGTTGTCTCTGTTGATGATTTGGGGAATTTCAAGAGTTTGGTTCGTGGGAAGAGAGCTATACCTGCTGGTCACACCTTCTTTGTCTCTGTGGTTCTTGTATTGCCGGAGTCTGATTTGAATAGGAATTTGGGCGTTTTTCAGGTACTGGGTCTTCGATTTTCTTTTGTATTCATTGGCTTCTGATTTTCTTATTTAATTTTGATCTTGCTTTTGCGGGTTGCGAATATTTTATTTTTCTATTCTGTATCCGATTTCTTGTTAAGTGTTATTTTTGCTTCTATTATGGGATGTGCTTGATCATTTTGGATGCTTTGGTGATGGTTGCTCTGAAAATTGGCTCATTCATATCTTTTTTTTAAATTTTAAGTTGGTTTTGTTTGTTTTTACGTTCATTATGGTTACTGCCTTTGAGAATAGCTTACATTTGGTCTTTAGGGAAATGCACATCATTTATTTTTGGAAATAGAATAATGCAGTTATTGGTTTAACTATTCAGTGCTGGAGTTGCAAATTATTGAGGGAGATAAATACTGAGACGTTTTCATGAGGGATCGCTAGTGTTTAAGGGTCTGTTAGAGTTGCAGTTTTTGAGTAACTACTGTTCTTTGTTGATCATTGTCTAAAGTTGCTGTAGAGCAGCAATGAATGGTAATTTTTAGCAAACATTAATGAAATAGCATCTTCTTATGAGTAGAGATAAATAACTATGATTATCCCCATTAATTTTTCAATGATTCTGTTGAAGAAGTTGAACGGTGAGTACCTCCCTGCTTTTGAATTTTGTGCCCAAAAATAATTTAAAAACATTGGTCAAAGTGATGAGATAGAATTGCAGCAAAGTTTTTTTCTGCCTTTTTAAGTCTGCAGTCTTGAATAGAACAGTTAACACATTAAAAAAAAAAAGAGTCTGTAGTCTTGGTCTGATTCTAAACTTCATTCTTTATTTTCTGTCTCAGTTGGGAAGAGTCCCTGTTATCATACTCTGTGGAACTTTCCTACCTTGTGATACTAAGGAGATAATGAGATGGTGTTTCTAATTTTCTATAATAAATTTGAGATCATGGAATTGGCTACAAGGACATCTCTCTCTTGTGGCCATGACGACCATGTTCCTAATTGCAATATCTGAAGTCAAATTGTATACCCTCTTCCATATGATCACTAGGAATGGCTTTCTTCTTTGATTTGCACCGCCTTCTCTTATATGGACATCAATATGCCTTTCTTCATTGGGACTTAAACAAGTTTTATGTGGTGCCCACATCCATAGATGGTTACAAGAAATAAGTCCTTTCTGTATCATCTTTGCAAGTCGTTACACTGTTTTCACCAGGCTTGTGGAACATGGTTCCAAGGATTGAAGGACAAAGTAGGCTATATACATAGTTGGCAAGAGTGGTCTCTGAAATGGTGATTGGCGTAACTCATATGTTTATCTGATCAGTAGATGCTATGATTGTTGTTTGGTAGTCTGTATGGATTTTGTTTTTACATCATGGGTTCAATTAATCATTTGTTCACGTTGGATGGTATTGCCCATTAGAAATGGTAGGTTGTAGTACAATTCCATGTGAAGGATCTGGGTCATAGACTCCTAGGTGGTTCATCTTGGGCATGGAACTGTTGTTTACTCAGCACCAAATGTTCATTAAGACTTTTCTAAGAGATGCATACTAAAGATTGTAAAATTGACAACTTCATTTAGCGATTCTTAGGGTCTTGTAGTTGATAATGTTATAAAGTCCTAAAAACATTTTTCTCTAAAACTACACATGATGATGGTGGACAAATAACAGAAAGACCCATATTGTACTAAAGAATAAATGCACAAGGAACAAAAAATATGATAAAGACCAATGTTGGATTCCAGGGCTCAAGCAAGAAACTCGGCCCCTTGCCAAGAAGAGTAACTTGGGGGAGTTCGAGACAACTTTTCCGAATTGCCCGATTTGAGGAAAGGTGCCAAAAACTAAAAAATTAGCAAATAAATATGAAAAATAAAATATGGAAAAGTATACAAAGAGACCATTTCCTTTTAGTACAAGGAGGTCACAACCATTCTTGTGCGTCAAATTTCAAATCAAATGGTTATAAGTGTACTTGTGATTAAACTCAAAGCCCAACAAAAAATTTCTCAAACTTCGTGACACACCCCAAGCAATCCAATTGGATATCTAATGGCTAGGATTAATTGTGATCTCATTGTACAAAAGATAAATTGTCTGTTAGTATACAATCCATAAAAAATTTAAACAATATTTAGAGATGCAAAAAAGCATATGAAATAAAAAAGGGTATAAATCATGGAATAGGAAAATTCACTAATGTTATTGGCTTGGAAAAAATAATTAATATATGAAAATGGGAAAAATGAGAAATAATATAATAAATGAAAAATCATAAAAACACAAGTATATTTAAAATGAGTTATAAATCAATTATGATTGATTTAGTAAAAATCTTTCTAAAATGAGTTTAAAATGTCTTTTTCTCAATTCTAGTACTTCCAATATATAAATCTGGCAAAACTCTTTCTAAAAACACAAATTTGGCTCCAATGGCACACTGTAGGTCCTTCGATCTTGAAAAATGAAAAAGGGGGGTGGATTTCCTCCCCTTTTAGAAGCCCGGGTTTTACAGTACTCAGGTGAGTCGCTATAGTACACGCGTGGGTATTGTACAGGGTACATACCTGTACCCTGTTCTGGGCTCGGTAGTCCCTTGTGCCCAAGTAGCTTACCCAAGTTCAAGTCAACCAGGACGAGTTTTCAACCTTTGATAGAAACTAACTAGGAACCTGAAGGTAAACCTGCTCATAAAGATATTTTGGAATGGTCATTCTAGGATTGGAAACACAAGATTTAGGATGCTGTTTAAAGCGATTGCGCTAGAAATGGAGAGTTCGACTTTGTTAGAGCTGTAGCTTCCACATGTACATGCTGAAGGGAATCATTGAACAAAAAAGCAAGCATAGTGTTCATGTGGGTAGATATATTTGTATGAAGCCTTGAAATCATTGATAAAAAAGATGGTGACTTATTTGAAATTGTGGAGGCTTAGCAGGCTTGGAAGATTTTATGCTGTTACCTGAGAAATAGAAGGCTATTGGAAGGATTGCCTAAGTGACTTTTCATCCCTAAGGCATATATGGTTGGATCAGCTCTATGTCGCAATGCCGAAGGAGTGATCCCGATGGCAAGCATTGCCTTTGTAGCATCATTGTAGAGTAGGAAATTAAACTTCTAGAAATCATTTGTTCTTATTGAACCTGGGACGTTATGGTTTTCCGTTTTTCTTTTTTCCCTTTTTGATTGGTCCTTTACAGGTTTTAGCCCCTGTTGTATCTTTTTCTTATGTTAGTTGTGTTGTGGAACCATTTAGTTGTATGACTAATATATTCATGCCCAACTTGACATGGTCCTTATTCATTTCTCCTCCACTTCGTAATTCTTTCACATTACTGTGGTTCCGATTGTCAGTTACTTCATAATTGTAGCTCGTGTGCTTTTTAATTCTTTTTTTTTTTCAGATTTACAGATTTTGACTTTGCAATTACAATATATGGGTATTGCCAGTTTTAGTTTTTGATAGTGATTACCATCACATCATTTTTCTATTCAAAACTCTTTATTGGCAACAGCTGAAGCAATGAGCTCATGTTCCATTTTGAAATGAGTGATAAAGCTGCAGTTCTTTGGACTGCCAGGGATTGTTTATCTATGAAGGGTGAATATCCAACGAAGCGTGTACTTGGATTCTTCAGAATCTGCCTTTTGGTTTCTATTGCTACATCCTTTTGATATATTAGATTGCCCTATGCCATGAATCCCTCTTGGGTGCCCAGATAAATGCTAGGAGTTTTAGGTGGTGAAATCTTATAAAAGTGTAGGAATATACAGGCAAGCACCTGCTATAAAGCGAGCTAAGTAGTGTCATGTCGACCTATGGGGGCAAAACTCCCCTTGCCTGATACAGGGTGGCACCTAGACAGCCAAAGCAGTTGCCTTTGGTAACATTGGTTGCTACCATTCTTTTGACCTTTTCAAGATATAGCACTACGTGGAGAGCTGATAGCCTTTGTCCTTGAAAACCTTTTGAGTTGAGATCATGGTGGTACAGCTTCACTTGTGAGTCACATGCCTCCCTTGAGTAAGATGGAAACAAAATTGGCCATGGCTCAGAAATCCAATTTAATATGATCTTAAAAATCATATATGGAGCTATAACCAGATCAGTAGTACCTAAACATTCAGTACTTGTAATTTGAACTTCTTTAATCATGTTATAGTTTGGTCAATCCTCTTTGTTACTGCCTTCATCACTGAGCCCCGTGGTCTCCATTAAGATGAAATTGTGAGTCATGAGAGAGTGCCATCAGCATGATGCTTCTCCTGTTGATCTCAAGTAAGTGTTTATCAGCTCCCTCCGTTGCTTTCTCTTTGTCGATTTCACCTTCAGTGTGTTGAGCAATTTTTGAACCCCATCTTGGGCTCTTATTCTTCTTTCTTGCCTTTGCATGGCAATGGGGGGTTTCTTCTTTGGGAAATCCTGGGGCCCTACATGGGCTATGAGGTTTGTGTTATGATGATATGAGTGCTGTAAATATTAAAAAGTGAGGAAAACATTAGAAAATGGATAGTTGTGCAAAGATGTCATGTAATTTTATCATGTCTCCCAAAAGGAATTAACAGTGTTGAACTTGGTGGCCGTTTTATGATAGCCTCTTGAACGACAGATTTGAGTTTGGTTAATCTTCAAATTAACATGGTGAAGATTTAAGATGCATAAATACAATACTTTTGTTTCTTATGTATCATGGTGTTTTTCTTTGTTCTTTTGTTGTTTTAACAAAGTTACTAGTAGATGCCTCTGTTGTGTCTAAGCAGTCGGTGCAGAATTATGAAATATTTGGAAGACCCCTAAAGGTACCATTTATTACTATTTTGTGGTTATAAATGAGTTGCTCTTTTGTTCAGTCTTAAAAGACTATTACATGCATTACACATCTGCGATAAATACTAATAAGTGGGATAAATTAGATTGTGGATTACTTGGACTTAGGAACTTTTTATGTCCTATTCCTAGCGTCTTGGTAGGTCTGCTATGGACTACTAGAATACAACATGCTTTCTGTTCTTCTGAATTCTCGCTTCTATCCTATTTCACTAAGGTGATGTTTGGGAGGGCATTGTAGTCTCTGCAGAACATGAATCTGAAATTGGGGAACTTTTTTTGTTTGTTTGAAATCTTGGAACTTTTGTTGAGTATTACAAATTTTGAACACTGATCTTGTATATTTTCAAAAGATAACAAGTCTTTCATTGTAAAGAAATTTTAAAGTTTATTTCTACTTAATGTTTATTCTCGGTTTATGTTTGCTTTTGGATTTCTTGTTTTGCTTGGTGGCTTAAGGGGTTTGCCTATGGGCTGGTTGATATTCATTCCTACACTTGGAATTGCTTGGTTCTAATCGGGAAGAACGCCAATGAGGTGCCTCTAGATAACTAGATAGATTCCCACTTCATTATAATTTTTTTTGTGGTGCTCGTCCCTTATCCTTGATTCATGTTCTTGTAAAGCGATCAAGAGGACAAGTAGGAACAAGAAGTCTATCATTAAGCAAGACTATATTATAAACAAGTAGGAAACAAGATGTCTATCATCTAACAAGGTGCAAGACAATATTATAAACAAGTAGGAAACAAGATGTCTAGCATCAAGCATGCTATTACTTTCCCAATCTTCCTGTGTCATTTTCTTTTACTTCACAACTTAACTCTAGAAAATAGAGTGGGTGATAGAAATTCATGTATCTTTGAATAACTTGCAAGGTCTACACTTGTTAATTTTGTAACAGTTTTCTTTTTCTTTCCTAATCTGATGATCATCTTCTGAAGTAGAGATTTTATTTTCTTATATATCTGACGAGGAACTCTGCCATGGCTGGTCCCGCGTCGGTCATGCCTGTTCTAAACAGGAGAAAGGATGAGGGTTGTTTTAGGTTGGCAGCCTGCTTGAAACTTTTGCCATATCTATTTCATGAATCATGAACCTATATTATAGACTAAAGGTATGGCTTTTGATAGAGGGAACAATATTCTTGTAGTTGATCCCTAATAGTTGGGATAAGGCTCGGATGATGATGATAATGATCGATGATAAGGGTTTGTAAATTGTCATATATTATCAAATACTATTTTATAATTGAACAATATATATCGGGAATGCATATAGAAATGAACTAGAGGGATTTTTAGTATTTGTTTATATAATGAAACATATGAGTTGGTCATTCATTTACAATTTGTCTTTTCATACTTCAAACTGGACCACCAGAGTAAGTATAAGTGATTGTCAAGATTTACAGTACCAGCTCAGCTGAGTTCTATTTTATGATTTACTAGGTTCTATGAAGGCCTAATATTCTTTTGTGCTTGTGACTCTGGTTTTCCCCTCTTCATTTCATCTTCGCTATCGGCATATCGCATCTTGGTTTTTATTGTGATTTATTTTTCTAGAGTTATCTCAAGCAAAAGAGTTGTCAAAAGTTTTTCACTACATTCTTTAATGTGGTCATGAGAGGCTTTCATCAGTTAACTGCAGAGATCCTCTCAGTAAATGGGCAGATGCTAGCCCGGTCAAGCCAGCCATGCATGCTCCGATACCGCAGTGCCCCAATCCGCCTTATGCACACCTTCCTGATGGGCCTGCCCCTCCTTGTGGGCCTACTCGGTGAGACCCAAAAGCTTGTTATCCCTGTTCTAGAATACAACGAAGAGTCAGGCCCTGCTACAAGGGCCATCAGGGTAACTCTACAGCCAAGGACAGGGACTACAAACGTACCCGAGCTTTACTCAGCTGAGATTCGTGTGAACTCTCGGCTCCCATTGTCCAAACAAGTTGTACATAATTGGAAGTGGACGTGCTATGTATGGGCCTCCTTATATACCTACACATTGCTTCTAATAATCACTATGTGTTGTTGCAAGAGGGTGGTTATGGGGGGACCGATGCGCCTGACTCGGGGCCCAACAGAGGAATTGAGACCCGGGGGACATCAGGTTTCTGGTGACCTTTCAGAGCCGTTACCACCAAGTGAAAAATTTTCCAGTGGGGTTATAGGGGAGGTATTTGATGAGTCAAAGAGACGGAGCCGAGGTAGGAGTAGAAGGAAGGAGATTTTTCGGCGAGGGTTGTCGCCGGAAAATGTTGGTGAGTTGAAATCGAGCTTGACTGTGGGAGAAAGCAAGGGTGTTGAAGATTCGGGATCGGTATGCCTGGGTGGCTGATGTATGGAGATTGTGGATGTTTTCTTTTTAGAATTTGTGTATTGGTAGAGGTCTGTCAGTGTTGGGAGACCCTTTCGGGCTCTTTTTGTAACTACCAAAGGTGGTCTCGTGTTCCTAAAAGAAATTAGGGAAGTAGGCTTGGTAGTAAAGATGGTTTTAGCCTCACATGCTTGAAGTATATTTTATTTTTATTATTTTGTTTCCGTTTGAAAAATTAGTTGTGATAAAATAAAGAACGTGGGAAAAGATATAGGGTGTGGTTTTTATAAGGTTGCATGTTTAAACAATACAATTAAAGCGTACCTCCAAATTTTATCATTGGCGTAAAAATTCTTAGCATTATCCGAAAATCTATTTTTTTATTTAATTATAAAATTTTGAACTTTTAAAATGGTTAAAATCAATTAGATGTATAAATATATGAAAACTTGAAAATGGAAGGTATAGATAAATATGTTGCAAGATGTATTATTTTTAAGACTCAATTTTTTTTTTTTTTATATTCATATATCTCAATGTCAATTAGAGGGTTTTTCAACATTAAAACAACTTTTTTTCAATGGATTTTTGAGGTGCATCTTTAATTTACAACTTTATATAAATTTTTTCAAAAGATAAATGGGGAAGTATTGGTAATTTAATGTGATGATCAGGAGATGCTTTTTATCTGTAGCGCCCTTATGTATTCTACCCCTTATATTGTTCTCTAATTGGCATCAGCTACATGGAAAGTAGGAATTTTAGTATTTTTTAATTGAAAAAGTTTATGTAAGAGCGAGGCTCTAGACAATCAAGTTAAGGTGTATCTCAAAAATTCACTAAAAGAGGTTGTTTTGATGCCGAAAGTTTCTCAAATTGATCAGAGTAGGAGGTGGTACATAAGTCCTTGTATTCTTTTATTCTTTAATGAAAAGTCATGGTTAAAGTTAAAAAAAAAAATGTATGTTTTTTTTGGGTTCATTAGAGGAGAAAGGCCTCTTCCTGTTTTTTCAATAGATTGGGGAGTTACATTTTTACATTTTGAAGTTGTTAATTGGAGGGTGTTAGTTGTAGGAGTGGATATTACGACGTGGTAACTGGGTGTAGGATGCTACCGTCACGACTTTAGTCCCATTCTTAAAAAAATGTGGTAAGTTAGTGGGGAATTGAGCCCTTACTTTTTGGTGAGAATGGAATTAGAGACCTTCTCATGAGGTTCGACAATACTACCACTAAGCACTATGCCATTCTCAAAAGTGGTAAGTCAGTGTGGATTTGGGCCTCTACCATTTGATGAGAATGGAGTAGATAACTTTTTTCTTTATATTTATGCAAATGTTCACTCTTTGAGAGCATATACTGTATTTTAATATTAGTTTTTTCTATACATTTGATTAAGTTTAAATTTAGGCATTTATACATTTCACTATCATATACTTGCGAAAAGCTATAAAAAAAAAAAAAAAAAAGGAAAATGAAAAAAAAAAAAAAAGAAAAAAAGAAAAGAAAAAAAGAAGAAGAAAAAAGCAAAAAGAAAAGAAAAGGAAAGAAAGAAAAGAAAAAGAAAAAGAAAAGAAAAGAAGATCAAGAAGAAGAGATGATACCATTTGGGAAATTATTTCAAAGAGGGAAATGCGAGAATCTTTATGAAAAACTAGGCACCATTTGATTTCCTAGCCAAATTAAAATTTTGGCAAGTTGAAAATTTCTCAGCAACTTGACCTCGAATAATTTTTGATTTGCAGATTGGAATTTATTTTCAACTGCTATTGAGCCCCTAAATTGAATTGTTTGGCAAAGTACTCCGAGTTGTTTTCTAAAAATTCAATTTGACCCTCTCTCCTCCTTTCTCCTGACAACCACCATCAACATTGCCACTAACGCACTGTCAACACCACCATCGCCTAGCCACCAATATTCCACCACCAACTCCACCAACACCAACACATCACCACCGCTGCGTAGCCGTCACTATCACTGCCATTGCACTATGTTTTGCAACCACCACCACCACCCTCCACTACTAATTAGCTGCCATCCCCACCGACCTACCATTTGCCACTACCACCACCACAGGAGGCCACCACCACCACCACAAGAGACCACCACCACCACTCCACCACCGCCTAGATGCAATTACTGCCACCCTCACTATGACCATCATACACCACGACCACCTATCCTCCACCACCACCACCATCACCACTTCACAACCACCCCTCTACTGTCTACCAAAAACCACGACCACTATTAGGACTCTACCTAATCAATTACAATCATCACCATCATCACACAAACACTACCACGACCACCACTATCACAACACATTATAATAATTTAAAATTAAAATTTTAACATTTAAACACGGAGATCAAATGACAATTAACCGAATTGCCATTTGATCAATTAAAATTTTAAATGTATTTTGCAATCAAATGATCCCCAAAATACAAGCAAAAAAAATCACAAAAATGAAAAAAAAACCATATTGATAATTTTTTAAACCAATCCAAAAAATGCAGCAAATTTTGGCTCAAGAATCATCAACGAAATGTTGTTTTCTCAAATTATTAATTTGATTTCGGTTAAAATTGTCGTGCTATTGCTACAAAAATGGATAAAGTGTTAGGTTAAATAAACTGAATAATATGAAAAGTTGAAATAGGACGGTCGTATATCTTAACTTTTGTCGATCAGAATCCCTGAAATAGATAGCACCCACTAGAATCAAAATTTCACAAAATTGCAAGAGCACGCAAAAGTAATGTAGCCATTTACATAAGCATTGAATTTCTGAATTCAATCAATCTCTTCAATTTCTCATTCCCGATACATTGATTCCTCTGGAACAGTACCTAAGTTGCTAGACAAAGGCAAAGTTCCAAACTCGCTCAACTTACAAAGAAGGACATTTTACTCTGGGAAAAGCTTATAAAGAACTGAGGCTTGAAACAATAAAATTAGAGCCTATATCAAAAATTTTATTAGAAGAGGTTGTTTTGATGCCCAAATATCGTCAAATTGATCATCTCAACAACAAGATGTATGGACATGAGAAAAAAATAGATTTCAAGTTATGGAAATAGTGCACCTTGTAAAGCATTTTTGGACTGTCAATTTTCAAGTTTTCATAGATCTGCTCGATCTACACTATTTTTGAAGCTTTAAATTTTGTAATTAAAGATAAAGATATATTTTAAGGCTATCACAAAGATTTCCAGTCTACAACAAAGGCTATCACAAAGAGGTGGTACCCAAGGGGACTGCAAAGGCTACAACAAAACCACCCATGTCATTTCTAACTATTCCTCCACAGTCTGCTGCAATAGGATTTCAAAAAGAAGATCTATCTATGTTGAGCTTGAAGTGATCAGTGGGAGGAAAAGACCATACAACTTGGATTGGGGTAAGGAGGCGTTCTACATACCAATTCAGATTGAGGTTGGTGGTGATGTTGCTTTTAGATGGATGGAAGTCCAACCCTTCCCTTCTGCAAGCTTGTTGACTAGGTGGGTAATGCGCTGAAGACGATGTTCTCTGGAAGTCTTCCTCCCTTCATGGATGAGTGCATTGCACTCAGCCCACAGACACCAGATGGTGATGGAAAAGGAAGAGAGCCAGAAATTTTTCATACTGATGGATTTGAAACAAAATTTGATCCACCTAGGCATCATCATCAAAATTGATTGCTTGAGCGGTATGAGTTTGCCAATTCTCCAAAGTAGAGATCTCTAGAGGACCTATGAGAAAACACACTGTATAATAATATGGTTCGTTGTCTCCTCCTCTAGACACCAAAGGTAAGCCCCTAGATTGGAGCTGACCTATGGTAGGCAATCGTGAATGTAGGGCAAACATTGTGAACCATTTTCCTCTAGGTTGAGAAGGGGTTTTCCAGAGGGCCTTGAAAACTGGCTGAACAGGAGCATTATGCGTGATGTGATCCCAAGCACTGCCCATTGAGAAGGCACCATCAACAGAATGGATCCAGACCAAGTGATCATGTAGGGGGTGTATAGGTAACACATGCGACTGTACCTACTCCCAGGCAAGGCTTAATGGACCAGAAGGGAGGGACGAAAGAGCTCATTTCTACGTTGAAACCTCGATGTAATAAGAGACATTGGGGTTTGCAAAATTTCCCAAGGTGCTATGTACTTCTACACCATATTTCTCCCATAAAGAATGTTATGAGAACCACGGATCAGTCGAAAAGTCGATCAATTTTCCCTCACTAAATATCCATGTCACATTATTTTGCAATCTATTTAACCCCAAGGTTACCCCTCTCAATGCATGAGAGCAAATTTTTGATGGGCGAACCAAACTGAAGAATGTCGAAAGTATATATGCTTGAAAAACTTGAACAACAGGGAGGAGCGTTTTGAGGTAATTCTCCATGCTAGCTTCATCATTCCACCCATGTTGAAGTCGTGAATATGAAGAATTCCAATACCTCTTTCAGCCTTCCAGCCTACAATACCCCAATTTACTAGGTGTAGTCCCTTGTTATCTGAACTCCCTGGCCAAAGAAAATTCCATTGGAGTCGTCCGAGAATATTGCATGTGCGGCTTGGGAGAGAGAATGAAAGCATCCATTATATTGCATAATCATTGATGATCGATTTTAAAAGTTGTAGCCGCCCTGCAAAAGATAAAGAAAGAGCTTGCCAAGAACTAATCTGAGATATGGTCTTTCCAGTTTGGCTATGACAGTGTGAGTGCCTCAGGGGTTCATGAAAAAGAGGGAGCTCAAGATATTTAGAAGAAAGGTTGTGCCGACCCAAAAAACATAGCTTTGCTCTTGTTGCAATTTGGTTGTGTAGACACCCCATTTTTAAAACTGACAAATTTTGTGATACTCGTGAATCCTTAGGACCACACTATCCTAGTAAACCCCCAAACTATAGACTATCATAGTCCGTGATCCCTATCCTGCGATCCAGAATCCTGCAAGACCATTTGTTTTAGTAATAAATCAAATAAAAATAGCAAAGCAACTTATTTTTATTTGATTATTTGGTAGGCAATATCACAAAAACATAACTGCTAATTTTGGTCAGATTTGGGCTCTCTTTGACCCCCCAAATGGAAATTTGGCTGACAAATATGCTTGAAATTGGTATATATCCATTATAGTATGATTTGAGCCTTTATATAAACACATTTTGTGACCCATTTAGGGTAGGACTTTGTTAACCCATACACCAAGAAACCTGAGCCTTGGAGAGACCA